CAGTCCACCATCTCCTTCTCCCCCTCTCATCATCTGACTTCACTGCATCTGCAGACTACGAGAGAAGAGAGACAGAGCTTGGTGACATCGGATCCAGACTCGACTTTTGGACTTCAGACATTACAACGAGGGATTATTTGGGACTTGTGACAAAGACTTGGTGCTGACGACATTCCCACCTCTCTCCCTCCTTTCGTCTGATTCCCTCCTCTTCGCCTATGTATGTCTGGACCTGGCGCTTTCTTCTTGTGTACAGCGCCAGGATCCTTCACACTTGGTGATGGATACGATGTATGTTTGGTCTGCATTCAAACATTGATTGGGCTAGTCATTAGCATTCCAGCATTCTGCTTGGCGATCTTGTGCTACGTGAATGAGGTCAGTCCCGGTCAGGTCAGGATTTGTATCTAAATCTTCCACTGCGCTATTCAGCACCATTTTGTATGTATGAGAATGCACATTGCTCGTTGAGATTCTACTTGCACTGCATTGTCCATTCAGTCCTTTTTATCACATTGTGGATCCTCGGTTATGATGTACATCGCTCATCTGAGCATGTAACAATTGTTATCGGTGCACTGCACGTGAATCAGGACAACCTGATCTGACACGTGTGCGGGGACTAAATAGCTGATTAGTCTTTACCGATTGATTAGAGCACATTAGTTAAACCCCAAAATCACGATTTTGACCTTACTACCGAAAATCGAATTTTTTTTCTTTTCTTGGATTTTATTTTCTCGCTATTCTGTTGTGGAAAATCGCATCAGTGCAACATCTGAAATCTCCATTTTCGTTTTTCTTCTGAAAATTCAAAATTTCGTTGTTAAAAATCCGGAATATTTTTCTTTTCGAAAATTTCGATTTGCTGTTGCATTTCCGTTACTTAGAAATTCGGAATACTTCTATTTCAAATTTCATTTTTCTGAAAATGGTACGGAAAATCCCTCCTACAGGTATTATTTTCCAAACTGCGAATATTCTCATTTGAGAAAATCCGAATACTTGTCATTTCTTTTCGGAATTTTTTTTCGCAGTTATAGGATCCTGTTAGTCAGTTCTATAATCATTTGCAGTCTGAAGTCGAAATTTTTTTCCATTGATCATTTCGAACTTCAAGGGAGATTGGGAGACCTACTGAACTTGCAAAAGTCGGGATTTTTATTTTTCTCGAAACGTTTTTTTTTGTTTGCAAAGTTCAAAGTTTTTTTTTTTGATTAGTGGCTCCTTATCTGGGCGATTCTTCCCACCCACCCTCCCCATCTATGTTGTTGCCCCCTCTGGCCTTACCTTCTCTGCCTATCTCCGGGTACCCCCTGCGACGACATTGGTGAGTTGCCACGTCAGCAGGCCACATCAACAGACTACGTCAGCAGACCACGTCAGCAGGCCACGTCAGTAGGACACGTCAGCAGGCCACATCAGCCGACAGAGCAGGAATACCACGTCAGCAGGCCCCCGGCCTGGTACATGCTTTTGCGGTCACAGACAACCGTCATGGACCAGAGGCCCGGTGAAGCAGACGAGGCCTATCAGGCCTGGATGCTGCTTGGAGTACCGAGACAAAGAAACGGGCAGATGACGCAGCTGCAGCAGCGAAGAAGAAGGCAGAGGATGTCGAGCAGGCACGTCTGCTGACACTTGAACAACAACGCCAACATGACGAGGCACCAGCAAGGGCTGCCGGTGAAGAAAGGAACCAACGTCGTGAGAAGATATTTAGCGGAGAGCGGACCTTGCTCACAATGGCAGCGGAATGGCGGACCGAGGCTGAGAATGACAAGTTGGAGGATTGCGAAAACAAGATCGCTCTCCTCCTCTCGCATCTCATAGACCTCCTGGCTACATGCATTACGCAGCAGGAGGATATCCACAGCCTCGACGGCTCGCTAGCTAAATTACAAAGCCGCCTGCAGCAGTTGGAGCAGCGACCTGTCGCCGCACCCGATGCAAGCTCTTCCACTACCGCCGATCGCCTCGAAGCATTGGAGATGCACGTCGGCTCCCTCCAGGACGGCGCACAGTTACAGCAGACCGCAACGCAATAGTTGCAGCAGCGCATCTGTACCACCGCCAATACCTCGAGTTCGAAGCCGAGCGAGACAGCTCCAAAGTTTGACGGGCAGGAGATCTTCTGCGACTCGATCAAGACAAATCCGATTCCATGGTTCCGCAAGTTCGAGCTCACGTTGTTGCTCCACAACGTCAAAGAACACAAGCACCACGCATACTTGTACTCTCGCTCAGGGGGCGCGTGCCAGGCTTGGTTGGACAACCTCTTGTCCAAGTACGGAGTGGTAGCTGCCGACTTGCACACCAAGATCAGTTGGGATGATCTGAAGGCGGCGTGGCACAAGCGGTTCCAGGTTAAGCCGCCGGAGATCAAAGCTATGGACAAGCTCATGGTCTTCGAACAAGGCACGCTGCCGAGTACCGACTGGATCGCCGAGTACCAACGCTTGACGTCAGTCCCAGACATCCAGATGGGCTTCAAAGCCATCTGCCATTACTTCATCTCAAGGTCTTGTCCGACATTAAGTAATGCCCTGACTCACGTCGAGGACACCTTGACGACGACGGCGGAACTCTTTGACAAGGCCGCGCAGATCATCATTACGAACAAGGAGGCAAAGAATTTGCGTTCGTCTGCAGCAGGCCCGAGCAGGGACCAGCATCGGCCAAGAGTGGTCGTGGTCGCGACAGCAACGGCGTTTGACCAAACCAGCGAGGCTAAGTCTGCCAATGAAGGGGACAGACTCGCAGCCGCCCGGGAAGGTGGCCGCCCCGGTAGAGGCCGAGGACGCGGCAAGCCGAAGACAAACACCGCATCTAGCCCCGGGCCCGGGGCAGCAGCTCCAGCCCCTTGGACCCAATACGGCATCTCCGAGCTAGCATTCAAGGTGCACACGAGATTCCACTATTGCCTATGGTGCAACGATGATCTGCATCAGACACCGGTCTGCCCATTGAAAGGCAAGGGCAAACAGGGAAACTGAGCACCGCCGAGAGTGACTCGACAACACTCCCAACGCCTCCGGAATCGGTTTCTTCGCGAGTAACCGGCCTTCATTCCGAGGCGCACGCGGAATTCGATAGTCCTCCTCTTCTACTTTCTTTTGAGGACTATGCTGCCCGACTCGTTCCTATGCTGGGTACTCAAGCTCAAGGACAAGAAGTGTGTGCGGTTTCTTCTCCGTCCGGCAGCAGCGACATATCGTCTTCAAGTGGTGCTTCACGGGATTCGGCGCTCGAGTTCAACATAGAGGTATAGACCCGCTCACGTCCGAGGACTTTGCATGGCTTCCTCTCCCGACCACAGGCCGCTTGCTGGTACCGCAATGCGCAGCACTATGCGCTCATCTCCACACTTACTTATCCTTCTATGCACCACCACCTTCGCCGATGGGAGACGAAGTCACTGTGGGGGACATCCTGGCGTATACTACCAAGGTGGCCCGCGAGTTTCGCATGCAGCGGTACGATGACAACAACGCACCGCTCATGTATGTCCGCATCCAGGTTGGGCAAGCGTCCTGCAGCGCTTTGCTGGATAGCGGCGCGTCTCGCAATTTCATGAGCCAATCCTTTATGCAAAGGGCTGGCCTTGGCGCACAAGTTCGGAGGAAGGCAAACCCGACGGCGATCAAGTTGGCGGATGGGAAACCGCAGCAACTTCTCGACCGTTGCATCGAGGCCGTACCGGTCTACTTCGCACCTCATGCATGCGCACCGGTGACATTCGATATTCTCGACACGGACTTCGACATCATTCTGGGAATGCCTTGGCTTGCAAGTGCGGATCACACGGTCAACTTCCATAGGCGGACTCTTAGCGTTCGCGACGCCTTCGGCGCAGAAGTGGCATGTACTATTCCTCTACCGCACCCTTCGATTCGGTGCCAAGTGGTGACGACCAAATCATTCAGGGCGACTTGCCCTTACGAGCAGCCCGATGAGATCGGCCTATGTTTCCTACGGACCGTCGCGGTAGCCGACGCTTCACCCACGGACTTGTCTTCGGGCCCCCGGGTGGTGCGGTTGCTGGACAAGTTCGCCGACATCTTCGAGTCACCTACCGGTGTGGTGCCGGATCGGCCGATCTCTCACGAGATCATTCTTGAGGCCGGTGCCGTGCCACCGAAAGGTTGCATTTATCGCATGAGCGAGGAGGAGCTTGAGGTCCTCCGCGCACAACTCGACGATTTGTTGGCCAAGGGCTGGATCCGCCCTAGCAGCTCCCCATATGTAGCACCAGTTCTCTTCGTCCGGAAGAAGAACAAGGATCTACGATTGTGTATCGACTACCGCAAGCTCAACGCGCAAACCGTCAAGAATGCGGGGCCTCTTCCTCGCATCGACGATCTGCTTGAGCGACTGGGCGGTGCAAAGTGTTTTTCCAAGTTGGATTTGAAATCAGGATATCATCAAATCTCGATCCGGCCGAACGATCGCTACAAGTCCGCGTTCAAGACACGGTACGGGCATTTTGAGTGGGTGGTCATGCCTTTTGGCCTCACCAACGCCCCGACGACCTTTCAAGTGGCAATGACCAATGAGTTCCGTGCAATGTTAGCCGGTCATTGGAGGATCATCTTGGACATCTTCGACGAGTGTTGGAGACGCTCCGCCGCGCCAAGTACAAGGCCAACCGCGACAAGTGCGAATTTGTCCGGCAAGAGCTGGAATACTTGGGCCACTTTGTCACACCGGAGGGCATCAGTCCGCTATCAGACAAGATTCAATCCATCCAAGAGTGTCCGGAGCTTCGAAATGTCACGGATGTCCGCTCGTTCCTTGGTCTCGCCGGCTACCATCAGCGTTTCATCAAAGGCTACTTGAAGATCGCTGCCCACTTGACCAAGCTCCAATGCGAGGATCGACCGTTTGACTTCGTAGAGGAGGCGCGGGAATCATTTTTGGCTCTCAAAGCCGCGCTATTATCTGCGGAGGTCTTGCGGATATACGACCCGCTTTTGCCTACGCGCGTCACTACGGATGTGTCAGGCTATGGCATTGGTGCAGTCCTTGAGCAACATGATGGTGTGGACTGGCACCCGGTGGAGTATTTCAGCAAGAAAGTGCCCATCGTGCATTCCATTGACGATGCACGCAAGAAGGAGCTCCTCGCCTTCGTCCACGCGCTCAAGCGGTGGCGGCACTTCCTCCTTGGTCGAAGCCAATTTCGATGGGTAACGGACAACAATCCGTTGGTCTTCTATAAGACCCAAGACACCGTCAACAGCACCATCGCTCGATGGATGACTTTCATCGACCAGTTCGACTTCT